GGGTCATTCATACGAGTGAAAATATTGCCCAAATTGGCGAGCATTTAGTCGAATCCTTGTAATCCCATTTCCCCAACCAGATCATAACTTCGTTCCTTTAGAAACGCTTTCACTTCGTCTCGCAGTTTAAAAAAGCGCGCCAAAGCATCCCCACGCGACAGTCAGCGAACTTTCGTATGGAAAACGAAAACCGAATGTTCGTTTACGAATTCTTTACAAAACAACTTAAAGAGGCGAGTGTCCATTGGCGTGATCACTTATCCCGCTGATGATCTTCGCTGAAGTGTCAAGATTTTTCTTTATATTTTGAGGTGATGTTTTTGATACCAGTAAATGTCAATGAAGAAAACAGTAAGTACTTACAGATGTGGAACCTCTTGTTTCATAAGTGCAAAAAAGTAGAATTTGTTTCCTAACATAGCAGTGGTGCCATAAGTATACAAGGAACCAATAATGGGATATCCAAGTCACGCTAGGTAATGAAGCCCTTCACATACTGGAAGACGTCTCTTCCTTTTTTGGTTGCCTTCATGTCTTAACGAAACAGGAAAGGTTCCACCTTCATGTGCATACCACACCAATGCAATTAGCTGGATGCAATTTTCAACATCAACTGTTTCAACCAACCAAAGGGATTTTTAGAACAGTGACAACTTGATTCAAAATGTCTGAACTCAAATTCCTACTTTGGCTTTGGATAACAGTATTTAATAACGGCGCTAGTCCAAACTTGTCTAAAGCTTCTTTTCCCAGAGCACTTCTTGCCAGTTCTAATGTACGCGGTTCTACCAACTCTTCTGCAGTCGCATGAGAGTTCTCGCATTTGACTACTGTATATGCCATGTGGTATGAAACCATCAGCAGTGGTTTTCTAGTTGGTATAAAATTCAATTTCAGAAGGGTTTCAGGAGAACCAAATCGGAATCTTTTAGGTTTCGGTGATTCAACATCATGGGTTGCAAATTCTGCGTCGCAGTGTAGGTTGCCGAAATGTTCCAGCAGTTTAGGCGACTTCAGATTTGCGTTTTAAAAGATAGTGCCGCAAAGTATATACTGAGGCTTTTGCGCACCGGTGAAACCAGACTTCACGCAATCATTATGCTGATCGTGCGGATCGAAGAGTGAAGTATTCCGGACAGCACGTGCAAAAAGATGCTTACAAGATGTGCGCTCCAATGAAGATCGCGTAGAGTGACGAAACTCTACCACATTTTTCAAGAAGCCACCAACTTTGCACCTAGTGAAGACCTGGCGATCGTGATTTTATGGTATAGCATGTTCGTTTACTAGGCATTAGTACGGTGTGGCTTAGTACAAAGCGGACTAATTGGAACATTTCATGTAAACACTACCGTGACTAGTACCATTTATGTTAAGTGGCTACGGCAGTCTCTCATCCGAAGTGTTAGGGCAACCTTTGAAGATGAGGGGTACTACTTTTTATTAAGATGAGGTACCCTCAAAGCTATCATCGCCATGTAAATTCCTACCTTGATGAGATCTTACCGAATAGACCGGCTTGACAAAGGCATTTCATTGGATACCCCCTATGCTCAAAAGACTTTATACATTTAAAATTGTTTCATGGGAATGCTCAAGGCATAAGTTTGACTCTATAACACCTGTAACAGTCACGTAGTTGAGAATGGCCGCAGAATAAGTGTGCAGACAGATGACACAAGGAATGTCGTCTGAGACTTGTAATCGCATTGTTTCGCGTTATCGGCAGTGTATGGACCAGAACGCACAGAAGTTCGAAAACAGGTTTTCACTAAACGAGTAAGCAATGCCTCTGAAACCCACTCTATTATAACCATAACATGTATTTTAATAAACACTGACTTTCTAAATCTTCAAAACATATACGAATTTTTAAGACATCCTGTTAGTGGACTCTACTGTAATAAACTAGGGCGTGACTGGTTTGCGGCCGAAAATTGTACGGAACAACGAATACTTAGGTAAATATGGTAGACGGTTCTGAACGATAAACCTTCCCTGTTCTTACCGGCTTTCGGTTGGCCACAAGTGTCCCTAGCCGTTTTCTAGCCTAAATAATTACGTCTGAACTGGTCGCTATGCAACCCGGCCCTCCACTGAGCACGCAGATTTCTGACCTCTCGGCTAAGGACTCTGCGAAATGTTATGATCGAACCAACTACGAATAAAGCACAACTCCTCGCTGACTGCAATCGAAATCCTAGGTATCTACTCTGGCAGGCCACAGGCCCGACCAGATAAAGAGCCTCCAGCTTCAATGGGCACATTGTTACGGCACGAAGTTCTATTGGCCTTCGAGGCTCAAATAGGGCGTTGCGGCTTCTTAAGAGAGCATTCTTCGCCAAGTTCAACTGTTTGAATTCCCCTGACCTTGATGCGTCTGCGATGGCACCCCATCTAGCCGGACTGCATGGTGTTTCCCCCAACAGAAGGCGATTTCTAACCGCGGACCTGGTGGACCGCGGAGACTCCAAACAGACCGAACGTCCACGGACCCTCTCGACATGCGGACTGCTCAAGTTGAACCCGCTTTTGAGCTGACCGCTTAGTTGTCGCTTGCAGTGCAGGAGGCAGACGCGTCTTTAGCATGGCAGTAGCAAGAGCACTGACTTGGGCATTAAGTATGCATCACAGCCCATTTAGTCGTCTTTCCTGGGTGGCTACAGATTTCCTATCGACGTCCGCATACTTGACCCAAAAAAGTATCATCAGGCAACGGGGGTTAACGGTTTCCGGTCTTCAGTTGTTTCATGCTCGTCTTACACCCGAGCTCTATTTATAGGCTGTACAGATGGTCAGGTATCGACACAAAGTGCAAGTTGGAGTACCGATAAAGACGAGGGCACTGAGTGATCATTTTGGCTGTCGTCAGTCAACCATGCCACAGCGCCGGGCCTGGGTAACAGGGGGGCCCTGACCCAGTCTGTTGTGTCAGTGAGCATCTTATGGAGGGCGACGTAGTTTATCACTCTGGACAAAGCGTCCAACAGCCCGATTTTCGCAAGCGGCGACGTCCAATGCGTGTCCCACGGAGTAATCGCAGCATTGGCGACTCGCACCTGAATCGACTGATAATGATGATGTCAGAGTCGCATAGTATCTGCCACTCTTTCTCTCTCTCTCCTACGGCATCAAGACGACCGAGTGTGGGCGCGGCCGCAGCAGCGGACAAGTTTAAACAACCCGCCTACGCGTGCCACAGGCGGGCTCGTCCCTATTGTACGTGACAGTCCCAACGTTGTTTCCGGTGATGTTTACGGTGCGCCCCACTACAGGGTGGGCGCAGCGACAGTGACTTTTGCGTGGAATACTTCATACTGAAAGTAGACTTGCGCTGTACTTGTCGCACCCCCCACTCACTCGCCTAGGCTCTATATCGAGAAGACTGGAGGCCGGATCGGGCAAATAGCTGACAGAGTTAGACAGCCGACTACGCGTGCCACACACACGCCTGGTCCGCGCGCTGAGAAATGCGTCCGAATATCTCGGGGTTGGGACCTCTCATATGTGAGGATGTCATAACTACCAGTACATCCACACTTCTCACGAAGGCTGGCTTTGTTGGACCGCGTCCTCTACGTCCCTCACACGTGAATCCTCTGGGGGGTGGGGACCATAGAGACCCTCACAGCCCTGGGAGTTATGATGCTTTAATCCTGGCATCTCATCTCCAGTTTCTCGACTTGTTGAAGCAAACGATTATTGAGGGACTCAGTCCGGGCGGACGTTCCAAGCAAGTGCAGGCTTCCCCGGCAGACTTAGTGGCCGCAGTTCAACTGGGTAAACTAGAGACCACTGCTACACCGCTATCTGTAAATCTCACGGATAGGTTGCGCTTCTTTCCCCAAACCTCGACTGTACGTTGAGCCGCCGTAAATATTGGCCGGTGGGATATGCGCTGAGAGCCCCTGAGCCCTCTCAGCAGTCAAGCAAAAGTAAACAGACAAAATTCCCACGCGGCCGCCGCCCCGAATCAGGATTTTCGCAATCGGTCGCTTGCTCCCACGGAAGCAAGTCGACTTTGCGTTGGTAAGGCAGACCAACGCCAGCACACCCTGTGCGCAAACGTTTCGACTGTTGGGTATTCCGCGGCCCCAACATCGCCCGGTTTTATGTAGTTGCCATTGTGGCAGGTTGCGAGACGACTTTACGAATGAGTAGCTCCACTGCCGTAAACGAGCCAACTTTGAAATCTGCACGCAGTCTGAACGCGAGGGGATGAGTGGTCCAGGGTCGCCTGAGACTGCCTGTCCCCAGCTGGCTGGTAAGTTTTAATCAATGCCCAGCCACCAATCCAAATTGACAACCAGCTTTAGGGACGACAGGTGGTCATTTTTATTTTGATCTGAACGTTATTCACTTTTGCGGAGTGCCTACTACTACTACTACTAACTAGCTACTAACAACTACTACCATTACTTGCTGCTACTACTACTACTACGACTAATACTACTACGACTACTACTACTACTACTACGACTACTACTACTACAGCCCTTGATTAGTCTGGCAACATCTGGCTAAAGCGTTTGGATTAAAATAAGGGGCATAAATTAGCCCAGACACGTTGGGGTCAATTAATGGAGAGGAAGTTGCCGATCGGCACTAGGGCCGTCGGTGGCTGTAAAATGTACTCCTGCTTCGTCGCAAGGCCTATCCCAACAATCAGAATACATCTGCCCAGGCTACTTCCGTGTACTTAAATGTACCGACTGCGAGTTATGCGCATACGGATGTAATGAGTAGGTTTGCCCCCCGATTGTTCACAATCGACATCACAGAACGACAAAGGTCCACAAGCTCTGCGCATATACAAAAACCCTCAGGTTTCAGACGACTGAGGACGGGGAAAATAGCAGAGCAGAAGAAAAACAAATTTTTGCAGAAAAAACATGAGACTGTCCGTCCAGGGTGAGGTGTTAAAAGGTGTTATTTATACACATGTGACTCTTGTGGATGGGGAAGGGGGATGCAGAAGGCCGACATCGGGCAGGCGCGCTTTAGCTCGGTCGCTGCTCCATTTTCGTCTTCGGCGGTTTGAGACCGCCAAGGTTCTTATGTTTCTTTGCCTTTTTAGTTCTGAAATCGCGCCAACTCGCGATCCGGTCATTCCGGCTGTCCTGAAGTACAAGGTAAGGGAGGATCATGAGTTGAAAGTGTATAAATGGACAAGATTGGTGATGTAGGGTTGCGGAACTTGGCCACTTCGTGTGCCACAGCAGGCCAGTTTTTCACTTAAAACGTTTTTAATCACTTGAAAAAAAACCAAAATGTTACAAAATTACTAATTCGATGAGCTAAAATACCTTGTCTTGGAAGTCAGCTGATTGTTGCGAATGCGTTGGCTGGCAAAATGATGGAGCGTGATAGCAGAGATACCCGTACTTTATAATGAAGTGTCTTTGCAGTCGTCAATTCTATCGGTTACTGCAAAGCCTTATCAAGTGCTATTTCTCCCACTTATTAGTGACACGGGAGTTTTGCTATTGCAGTAAGCGTCGTAAACTATGTATGAAGGTTCGCGCGCGTTTTTCGGCGAATGGAGGTCAGTGTAGGTGGGAAAAGTTTACGCAAACTGACCTGCCGGTATCTAAAAATAATTTTTATCGCGTAAAACAGACAAATGAGCGGAAAAAAATAAAACTGTTTTTAGAGAAAACATGTGAGCTTTCAGTGGCGGAATTTTGGACTTGCAAATCTGCGGAATTTTGAGTCTTAAAACGCCATCGGTGTGTTGCTCTACAGGTACTTGCAAGGCTCAAATGGGCATTCTAGAATCCGTTAAACACCCCCAAAGTCGGTGGTCTCCGGCACATTGGGAGACAATTGGCATGATCTATTTTGCAGTCAATACGTGATTTACGGACTAAGGAGGTGCTGGCTGGGTCGGCAGTGGAAACATTTCGACCGACCCCGAGGTCACTCATGGTAGAATAATGCTTCAAAGTGAGGAGACCGAAGGCGGTTAAAGAGTGAACAAAGTAACGATTTTTTTCCATCTGATTCTGTCAGTTTGGTGCATTTATGGCGGACAGCGTCAATTCCCTCTCTGATCTCACCCTGGAAATAGATCATGGATAATCGCCCCTTACCTATGAAGGGCCGTGACAAAGCCTTTTTGGATGGAAAGTTTACTAGTGGCCGCTTTTTATCTGATCCAGAGTATATTCATCGGAGGTGCTTGTTAAGGAAGTCCGCTCTCTACGACGATGGGTTAACATTCGTTGGACATTAAATAGGTACCGCCTCTCCTGATGATCGATTGGTGACACCGAAAACAGCAAGGTTAAGGCCATATTCTGGCTTAACGACTTGCCCCATCGTCAGAAATAAAACAGTCATTATATGGAACAACACCACTCATAGACCTATACATGCTCACGGTTATGTTTGCCTTCGGTATATCATTTTTAGGCGACGACTGCCAACACTTCCAGAAATACTGAGAGAGAGAGAGAGAGAGAGAGAGAGAGAGAGAGAGAGAGAGAGAGAGGGAGGGAGAGGGAGAGAGAGGGAGAGAGAGGAATTCGATTTATTTTGAAACCGTAAGTTCAACATTTTCAGCAACTTTAGCAATGCACATATAAGGGGAGTGTCTGTGTGCAAATGCCGAGGACAACTTTGGAAACGCAACAAAGAGCATTTCCGCCAAAGCTATAATATAAACTGAATAGCAATCCCTAATGTTCCTCAGATGATCTCATCCACATTCGGTTAAGGAGCCGGAAATCGAGTTAAAAAAAGCCGCCAAACCATGGGTAATTATGTATTTAAACTTCATAGTCCACATTCTCATTTAGTCAGGAATGCGTAAGCATCACCGTACGTTCTCTGATGCTTGATTTGTAACTTAACTATCCGCCTAGAACGCGCCCGTTAGAAATTTCAGCCACCACCTAAGAATAATTCTTAAGAACGTACAAAAACACCAATTTTTTCAAACTAAAATTACTTTCTTTAAACCCTAGGCCTGAAGGAGACGAAATACCTTGTGAGAGGATTAAATGAACAGACGTTTTCAAAGATTATTTCTACGAAACACAAACGAGTGTCCGTAACCGTAGAAAATGCACGGAAATAATCCATCATACTTGGGTAGTTAGGCCCTCTGACAGCTAATAATAGTTGGGATGGCGTTTCATGAACGAAGTGTACTGCAATGTATACATGTAATGGGTCTTAGGCTAACTGAGCATTGTTGCCAGGATGCGATCACGGAGATCTCTGTAGGAACAGTAGTTTCTCAAAGACGAGCCATTCGTAAATAGTTCTGGAGATTTAAAAACGGGGAAGGTCAGAGGAAACACGATATTGCAATCAAATCTTAAACTAAATAACAGAGATAAATACGTCAGTTGGTTCGGGAGCGTGAAGAGTTTCCGTCGGAAAGTGTACGAGTACATGAAAATCCGGTCGGGCACGGGGATATTGACCCCCCGTATTAAAGTTGGTTCTGCCCTAAATTCCAGGGTGGAAGAAGTGGCGGGGGGTTTAAGAGTTAGGATTAAAGTCAGTACGTGGGAACAGGTACCCTTCTGGAATTTAGGTCGAAGTCACTTGTAGTACTGGAGGTCCACATGCCCGTGTCAGATAGCCGGAAATACTTCAGTTAGACTGTTTCGCTTTCAAAGAAATTAAAGACTTTGTCGAGAAGCATCGCGTATGTAGAGTCATCACCCGCCTAGTTGAATTAAAGATTTCTACGGCAACAGTAGGTAATGTGCTTGGTGGGCTCATAAAAGTGAGCATCTGATGGCAGAATGCCAAAATATTTCAGTCACGACGGAATGCCGGAATGTGAGTCGTTCCGGCCGCCTACAAAAATTACACTCGCCAAAAGACTACTTAGCTAGTACCCGTTTTGGCTGCGGTTCAAAAAAGGCGATGAAATAATGTTTCAGATATCCATGCAGGCAGGAAATTTGTCTTTCAACGAATGGAGGCGAATGTCCAAATTTGAGGTGTGTGTGAATAAGAAGGCTGTTCGAGTACCGGGGCAAATATATCTTGTGGAAGGCCTACATAAAAATATCCTTTTTTGTGTTCGTTTTGTGATAAATTACGCCGTCTTCAAAGGGTCTCTTTCAGCTTCAAGAGTTCTTTGATACCCACCGTTGTACTTCTATTTGGGGTTTCCAAATTATATGCTGCACGGAGACATGGGATTATGTCCTCCCCTTTACTCAGTTCGCTTCCTCGGCCTTCAACAAACAAATCGAGGCATATGGGCCCGATTTCAAGCATGGCTGACTAATGGCTGACTACACAACGTACTACCAACGTACTGAGCCCACTAAGTCACGCAGCGTTCTTTAACCATGTGGACGACCACAGCTTAAGTGGACAAAAACCGCCCATCATCCTTTGGGAAAAGCGTTCGCGCAATGAACAGAACGATGGGTATCAGTATACCAGAGAAGTAGTGACGACTTACGCAGCATCGGTATACCCTTCGTCACTCCACTCATTCACAACCTTGTGGCGCAATGACAAGATTCAGTCCAAAAAAATTAAAATGGGCATGAGCGCGGTGGCTGTGTTAACATACATACACCCAGGGAACGCCCACCACAGGGCTGGCTTACTCCTCATGGTTAGACCAGGCTTTTTAGAAGTTCACGGGGTGTCTCCAACACGTCGCCGCCGTCATCCTGTTTCGTCCGCTAGTCGGAGTGGCTACTTGGATTTGATCGCTCCAAGGAGCACAAGTTCGTAGAGTCAAAATTAGACATGAGCATTAATGGGGTCAGACTAGCTGTCGCAGTGATAAAAACTTAAGGAGGACCTAGACCGCTAATGAGACTATAATGCCAGTATTAAATAAGGCAGTTGCCTACCTCATAATTCTGCCTCCACTCCCGTTCCACGGCCGTTCTGTACTTGTTCAATTCGTCCTCCTCAGCCTTTCGCTTTCTGCAGAGAGAACGGTATGAACGACACTTAAGAAATGCAAGTACGAGTGGTAACTAGAAACACGGCAAGTGTGGGTGTGTGAAAGGGACGAAGGTAGGCTTCGTCATCGCCGAGAAAAACATGTATTGGGCGCTCAAAACTAAGACGAACAGGAAGGCTGCGGTTCGAAAAAGGCGATGGAATAATGTTTCAGATATCCATGCAGTCAGCAAATTTGTCTTTCAACGGATGCAGGCGAATGTCCGAAGTTCAGGTGTGTGAGTGAATAAAAAGGCTGTTCGAGTACCGGGGCCACTTCTATATTTTTCTGATATTTTTAACTCAAGCAGGAATCAGAGAGAAAAGCAGTAACAGAACCAGTGAAAGCTATGGGGATAGTTTATAATCAACGATCAGTGGCGCAGGTCTTGAGATGGCTGCGCAGGGCTCTGTGGCCGCGTAAGATCGACATATTAATTGACTGAGATCGCACCTGAGGGCACAGGCTCCAATCAATTATCGGTTTTTCTTGCTTCCGGCGTGGGAGATTATCGTGGTAGCCGCGAAGTTAAACTCGTGATCCATCTCGAGGGTGTAAGTAGCTATTTGTGATAATTAGTCATCCCACCACACAGTCAGCTTAGGTTCGCGTACGCGCGATCCGAGCATGCGTTCAGGCTGATCTGTTTAACTAAGAGGCAGTTCGGGCACAGGATAAGATACACTACATCCGACTGCTCCCCGAGTATTTGATTTTTATGAGTGATGCGCTCGGTCGCTTTTGAGCCGGTGTGCAATTCCAATAGTCCCACGGCAACGTGCTCAGCCGCCTCTAAAACGCGCTAGTGCGTGGCAGAACATGCCGTGTCATCAGTGGCATTTCCGGGGAGGGGTCCTTTAGAGGACGAGCACCTAGGCGGAGCCTCATAAACGCCTTCGGATAGGCTGTAAAAAATGATCAGCCAGTTGCCAATGGAAGTCAGTTGCGTGTGATTATGAAAATTTGACATCGCTATCGGTAACGTGAGTGTGTAATACGTGTAAAGAATTCGGACAAATTACTGACCGCGTCTATATCTCTTGACGGCCAGACCTGCTGTTGGAGCATGGTCCGCGGACGACAACAGATAAGCCAGAAATGCTTCAACCGGTCTCCCGAACTTCAAACGTTGGTGGAGTTGAATTTTAGATATCTCGTCCGCCAAAGCCAAGTGCCCTTTAGTATACTGGGACTGCGGGTTATGACCTTCATCGCCATTTGCCCGGCCGGCAGCACGCATTTTTGTAAGGACGGGCAAGTACGTTCATGGCTAACTAGGGCAAGGTATTCTGCATATTCCTCTACTGTTTTACGGAAAAGCGGACGAACGAAATAGAAACCGCAAAATAAGCACATTAATTAGTAGATGCGCACGTACTACACTTAGTCCGTCGGCCGAAACGTCCATCATCCTCACACTCATCATTTTCTAGATGCACTCTCATCAACATCGACGACATAAGTCGCCGCTTCGCCTGATTTCTGCACCCACCTAAAAATTGCATCGTACAACTGCAAAAAACCAGTGAAACTCATGCTTGGCACAGACGCTGGTTACCCGGCAAGTTAACCCGTCTTCGGCTACGATTAACTGCAAGCAGGATCATGGATCTGGTAAACCGTCGCAGAACGGCAACAATGCTACTAGGACGGGGAACACTGAGGTTGGGCACATCCATTATATTAGTAAATTCCGCAGTCCATAAACATGGCTATAATTATCTATCATCAAATAAACTTTCTCGTCGTAGCTTACCTACAGTTAGGCCCAAAGGAGTCCAATTGGCAGAGCGGAACCTCGAGCAAATAGGCCTTGCAGTTACTAGGAAGCAGCTGCACTACGAGCAACCTTATTGTCTGACCAACGGTTTGAGGTAGCTCAAAGTACTTAACACTGCATTTCGCGCGCTATAATTGGTGTTGGCAGATTCTGCGAAAAGAACATACAAACAGCAAATGGTCTCATGGCCTACAAGATGACTGAAAAACTTGAAAAGGACAGCGTCTTGAAGCAGCAGGCGATTGTAGTAAGAAGCTCGGCACACGCCTGCTAGGTCCACACTAACATATCACATAAATCCCGTTGCTAGAGTGGGACGAGGTTTCTACTAAATTCGTTTGTCGGGCCTTCCCTCACTAAAATTGGAGTCAGTGGGTGACAGGATCTGAACTGATAACCGATGAAAAGAAAATTAATACGCAGAAGGGAAAGCATTTTAAAGTGGACCTAAATAGGCACGACATAAGTGTGTGTGGAAAACTGTTTCGGTTGATAAAAGTACAACGAACAATAAAAAACGCACCTTTCATTTGTTTGCTTGGTTTCCTCATCTACCCGTAAACGCTCGAGATCTGCGAACAATTTGCAAGTTTGGACATACACCGCGTGTTTGTACTAGGGTGAGAATCGGGTGGGCGGGAATATCGGTTAACTGAATGCGACCTACCTTAGCAGGATCATCCTCGTCAATGGGCTCGCCTTTGCTCCGCCTCCGCTTCTCATACACCTAAAAGGTGTAGTTCGAATTAGGTGGCATAATGCAATACCATCTGTATAACTCTATCTTTCGCCTCTTGCACGACCTCGAGGCACTTTCTGTAGTTCGTTGTGTCCTCCAAGGCCTTGTAAGCCTTATTAACGGCTGTTAATGCAAGCAAAGCAAGACGTCTAATTAAGGACATTAAAAGGAAGCTGTAAGCCCTCCAGTGGCGAAGAAATTGAAAGCCAATGACAGGGCCGTACAATTGAGAAAAATTGCATCCGCAGAACGTTTCAGGCGAGCAAAGACTGCCAAGTCATAATTCTAAACAATAATGTGTTGGTTCTCTTAGATAACAAGACACTTATGACGACTTCTAGGGAGAAAATGCTCAGAACACGGTGGTTAGAGTTTGTATATGGGATATTGAATGTGGTCTGCCCCGGTCATTTTCATAAATTTACCCAAAACCGTAAGGCAATTACGAGTATATGAGGCAGTCAGGGATCTCATTCTGATAGAACCCGACCAAAGTAAATCATGTCTAAAAAAGAGATATGGGAATCGACGCATCGACATCGACATGCGACATCGATTTCTCATGGACCAAACCCTGTGAACGCGCTGGATTGTTTAAAAAGGAAAGTAAGTCTCCAGCGCAAAGTTTCTTAAAGCCTGAGTGGACACAAGTTGCAAGCGTTACGCCGCTCATCAAACATGAATGAAATATACACATTTCTGTCTCAGGCCGCAGTGCAGTGGCAATTAGACACAGGCGATGATGCAATCATTTTAAAATCGACATCTCTATGTCAAACTTTGGTTACATATATACAGTGACGAGTTTAAAGGGATTTAAAACGTGGGAAACGAAAAAAATGTGCAAGAGGTTCCCTGGCTCTCTTGATAGCACAGAAAGACGCAATTTGACGCAAGGTTTACAACTAAGTGGCATAATTACATAGATCAAAAAGCGGAATTAAGGGAGGTGTTGAACCCCGCGGTTGTCGATCGTTTTTTCCGCCTGATAGCAAATGTATTAAAGGTATGACACGACTCGAGTCCCGAATGTCGCACCAATGTTAAGTCGTCGTGTACGACACCCGCTGGTAAGGGTGTAATCGAACAAATTTCTGCATATATATGCAGCCAAAAATATCAAAGGGAACGAATACATATGGCCCCTTTATAATTTGCAAATACATATTTTTGACAGTATCTTGTCTCACCATCAAATGCCTTCTTTGCCCGCTCGGCGTCGTCTTGGTTTTTATCAGGATGCACAAGCAAGGACATCTAAGGGCAATTATTACGTCAGTTTAGAGATTACCTGACGATATCTTGATTTTATATCGGTCATCGAAACGTCTGGGTCGATTTGTAAAACCTTGAATGTTTATTCGAAGCCTCAAAAATGGCTTACATCGAAAGGATTAAGATTGAAGTAAGTGCAACCAGGTCTGTTGAGTCGGTCTATCTGTTGTTTAGGTGTGAGTGCAGCATCCCGCTTCTCGATCAATTTGACCTCGGAATAGAACTCAGAAAAGAGCTTATCCTTGGGGTCGGCCATGGACCAACAGCCAACCAGATATTGGCGCCAAAAACTTGAACACGACGTCGATTTTTTTGAGCATTAAAAGAAAGCACGGACTAATGATATACTAAATTTTGGGTGTTCGTGGGAAAAATGTACTACCTGACATACCCAACTTAGTAATCTTCCGAAAACTTCCAATATATAAGACAATCGGTATATGACAAAGGTATATGAAAAAGTCCAATATTCTACGAGTCGGCAGAGCTCGCTCTCCGAACCATATGGCCTACTGCCTAAATGGTATACCACTGCAAGAAGTGGACTCGCAGAAGGACTTGGGAGTATGGATTACGACCTCGCTCAAACCCTCGCTGCACTGCACGAAGATAGCCAAGTCTGCAATGTCAGTCCTCTACCTTGTCAAGCGGGCTTTCTCTGCCTTTAACGAAGACTGCTTCGCTAAAGTCTTTCGGACTTTTGTGCGTCCGCAACTAGAATTTGCTATCCAAGCTTGGAGACCCTGGACCGCGAAGGACCTCAGCATCCTTGAAAGGGTTCAAAGGCGTGCGACGAAACTTGTGGCAGGACAGGGTTCACTACCATATGCAACGCGGTTAGCTAACCTTCATCTCTTTCCCTTGAGTTACAGGCAGTTACGGGGTGACCTGATACAAGTCTTCCGTATCATACGCGGTCAGGACTGCAGCCTCGTACCGGGTGACTTCTTCGAGTTAGCAACCACCACAAATCTACGAGGCCATCCATTCAAACTACGTGTGACAGGGGCCAGACTGGACACACGAAAGTTCTTCTCCAACAGAGTGGTAGAAGCCTGGAATGCCCTGCCTGTGGATGTCGTTATGTCTGCTTCCGTCGAGGTTTTTAAGAGGAAGCTGGATTTGTGTAGCAGTGTGCGCTAAATTACCACCACGATCCCTGTAACCTCGACAAATTCCGTTATTATAATACTACTTGATATATTTCAGTAGCATTTTAAATTGAACTTATTATTGTACCAACCCATCGCCTACGCTTACTGACATGCACATATGCAAATTTTGTCCCCGGACATATTATTTATTTCGCTGCACTCGAAACGACAGCTCTACAACTGCTCGTACCACTAAAATTCGAGACAGTTTGTTCGTCTGTACAGACCTGACGCTTTTCCGATTATTTGTTACTTTATGATACCTTTTCGAGTTTTTGAGATTTTGCAGTTGCTTGTAAACAGATAGGGAGTTCAAAGGTGAAGACCTACATTTCCCTCAATAAACTGAACTGAACTGAACTGGACTCTTTCCGATTATTTTGCGATTCAACAACTTTGTTTAACGGTTCAGTTCAGTTTAGCTCATTTTCTTGATGGAAGTAGGCGTTAGCCTTTGAGTACTCTGCTTGCAACGTAAAACTAGGTGCAGTGTGCAGAGAAATTATCTGGGTAGAAATAATTCGTACGAACCCATAATGGTATGACGAATTGTAAGTAAGTCGCAGTGGATGAGCTCCATCTCCAATCGCTCTTGGTCATTTCCAACAAAAATATTTCAAGGTTATTTTGAAATTTCGTATCGATGGTGATATCATAACACCTGCAGGAAGGCCATTCCATGGCTTGGCCACTCGGACAGAAAAGGAGAACTTCCGCCCATCCAGCCTTACCTGCTGAGTTCGCAGTTTTAACGGGTGAAATCGGAGGTTGATCGCGGTAGCAAATTCAAAAAAGTCCTCAAAGGCAAGGCTGCAGTCCAGCCCCTTGACTATGAGAAATGCTCGCAAGAGGTCCGCGCGAAGTCGTCTATAACGCAAAGGGAAGAGGTGCGGATTTATCGGGCGGGTTGCATAAGGAAAGCTGCTTTGACCGCTAACCATCTTTGAGGCTCTCCTCTGAACTCTTTCGAGAAAATTTTGCTCTTGAACTGCCTACGGTCTCCAAGCTTATGTGCCATATTCCGAGTGCGGTCGCGCGAATGGTCCGAATGTCTTTCGGAAAGCGTCTTCGTCCAAATCCATAAACGCACCCTTGATGGCGTACTGTACGGACATTGCGATTTTTGCACTCTCGAACAATGAAGAGATGGTTTTAGGGAATTCGTCGTCAGCACATCGAGGTCCTATTGCGATTCGACGTCTTGTAATGCTGCACTATCCAGAAAGTAGTCTGTTGTGGAGCGGATCTATCTTTGCTCCGTAGGCGAAGTATGCTACACTAGTAGCGGCACAGCAGAGAGAATATGTGCAGCATGAGAGCTACAATCGTCAGGCCAAATTCCATGTTTGAAGGGAGAAGACAAAGGGGACCAGAATAAGGGGTTTATTGTGCACAGAACCCGGGGTTGTCCTCTCAGGCGACAGTGGCCACTGGCGAAGCCAGGGCTAGTGTTGACTGCGTCCAGTCAGGCCTGAGAGTCCCTGAGACAGTGGTGGCAGCCGCTTTTGTAGGCTCGTGGGCCAAGCTCAAGTGGTGTCCAATCAGCGTGTGTTGCATTTGCCGAGGGGTGGTGTCCCAGTGGCTTGTTCCGCTGGTTGCAGGGGGTGGCGCGTTCAAGTGGCCGCATGGGCAGCTGCGACTGCGCGGACGCAGGTATGCCCGAGCTGTTGGTTGTGTGACTTCAGGTCACCTTGTCTGGGACGGCTCGCTGCAAGGGATGAATGGCCTTGAGGTCTGGAACAATGACGCCAGACCGATCTTGATTTCTGGCTGTTACACACTTACCAAAGTTGGACCATTGGAGCCAACGGTTTGACCACTCTTTTAGCCGATCCAAGTTCATATACAGCCTGTTCTCGCCGGCAGGGCCCCAAACTACACTCCATATCCCCACGTCGTGAGAAACTATTGCTGTTTCGCGGTCGAAAGCTCTTGCGTGATCTTACACGTATGTTAGGAACAAACTGGTTCCCAGTATCGAATACTGGGGAACATCACTTTCGACCACAGCAGGCTCTGACTTTCCTTGACCGATGCGCTCAATTAGCTGTCGAACCACAAGGGAGTTTTCGATCCATTTATGGAAGTCGCCTCTGATCGTTATTTTTTCCAGTTTGTGTAACAGCCTCTCGTGTGGCACAGTGTCGAACGCCTTCTGGAAGTCAATGAAAGCTATGCGGACGGCGTGTTTGTCGTGGAGAGCTCGGGTCTAGCTCTGGAGAGATTGCAGCAAGTTTGTCGTGCAGGATCTTCCTTTCCGGGACCCATATTGGCAGTTCGATAGCTAGCCGTGGACATCCAGAATTTGGATAACTTCACTCTTCATAATCCCCTCCATAACTTTGCAGGGAATGCATGTCAAGCTTAGTGAACTGTAATTTGTCGTCGATGCCCTGCTACCGATAGCAAGTGTTCCAGTCTTTGAAAGAAGTTTGAAAGAGCATCGTCAAAAGCACAAAAAGCCCACTGGCAAGTTCCTTGAGAAGCTTGGGTGGAATCTCTTCTGATCCTGACGACTTCGATTTGTTCATGGCCTCTAATTATCTTCGGACAGCATCTTCTGATGAGAGTACATAACTTATGCTTGGAGTCGGCAGTTCTTCTGCGAATTGAATAAGGAATCTTGCCTCGTTTGTGAAGACTGACAGGAAAACTGTCAAAAATATGCTGCCTTGTCCCTGCTATCAACAATCTCAACGACACCGTTAGTCCTTATTAAGGGAATTTGATGTCTGTCCCTTACAATTCTTCTGAGGTAGCTGTAGAGTAAATTTGGGTTCTGTGTTGTTTTTTGTTGCAAAATTTTCTCAAATTCTCGGCGCGTCTTTGTAAGCATGCTTCTCAGTTTGCTTCTTCGTATCTTTTAGGTGTTGAAATACTCAACTTGCCCAGTGGCGCAGTATTTTCTCCACAATTTGTGCTTTCTGTCAACTTCTCTCTTAAGGTTGCCATTTAGCAACCTAGATCGCTGGCTCTGTGTTACACTCGTCAGTGGGCAGTGGTTGCTGATGAGCTGCAGAAGGACGTTCTTGAACCACTCCCAGTCATCGTTAGCATTACCCGTAAACGTTGAGCTCCATTCGAGACCGGATAAGTCTGCCCTCATCTCATTGAAGTCGCCCCGACAAGTGCTGTGTCCTTTTTAGTCTGGAGTATGTAAAATGGCGGATAGCAAATAATCCCACACAAGCACTACATGGTCACTTCGAACATGGAGATGACCTCGTCTATGCTGTCAAATGATTTCGTAAGGGCTAAATCCTGACAGCTAACTCTTAGTCCTTCACGCGTTTTCGTTGAAAATATTACATGTTGTTTGAGGAGCAGCCTTAATGTCTTGTTCTGCAAACCGCAGTCGAATGTCAATTTTGGGCCTGGCACTTGGAGGATGTTCCAGTTCATTCCTGGTGCATTGAAGTCGCCCATGATCATGATGTTAGATCAACTGAAAAATTTCTCCAACTGCTCCAAAAGATGGGTATCGGCAGTTTGGTCTGTCCTGTGTGGTCGGTAGACAGAGAGGACATCGAGGTACGGGGGACCTGTAGCCTTGATGCTTAACCAAATAACTTCCGTGCTGCCCGCAAACTTGGTGGTATTTTCCGACACTGACAGGTCTTCCTTTATATACACAACTATACCACCACCCTGATGATACTCCCTGTCCCTCCGGTAAATAAGGTATCCAGTCAAGTCTATTTCGCTATTGCTAATATTCCCGGACCGCCAGGTTCTGGTTACAGCTAAGACACCCGGAGACAGTTCGGCAAGGCAAAGTTTTAGCTCCTCTAGTTTAAATATGAGGCTTTGGGTATTTGTATTTAAGCCCCTCAGTTTTGCGCCAGCCGAATATCCGGCTGCATCTGTCAGTGTTTTGAGCAATACTGCGTCATCTCTGACGTCATTTTCATTTGGTTCCATTATTGTCCGTTGCTTTTGCCCGGACACTGAATGTTAAGGGTTTACTTGTGTTGTCGCCTCGAGCGGCTGGTTCCTCGAGATCGCCTGTGTTAGCTGAGGGGCTGCGTCGTAGTTAGCATTACTGTCTGGTTCCACTGAAACGGTATATTTTCCCGAACTACTTTTCCCTTGAAAATAGCCA